ATAATTGAAACCTCTTAAAGCCCAAGCCCCTAAACCCGCACCTCAAAGGCTGAACCCTCTTCGCAACGTTTACCACTCTCAAACCTACGCCCCCACACTCCTAAACCCTCTGAACCTGGTGAATCCTAAACACTGAATCACAAATCTTCAGAGTACTACTGTGCAATCCTTCCATAACCCTGCAACAATGCAGCGGAGTGGCTGGAGGGCGGAGAATCCCGCCGAACCTGGCTGTGTAAATTTGATATTTTAGGGTGTAGGCTTGGGGTTTTGTGGGGTTCTTTCTGTATGGACAAGAAAACAGAAACTACAGTGCTATTCAGGGTTCAGGGACTATAGGGTGCGGGGATATGATCCCAATAATGGAGAACCCAATGAAAAATCACATGGGAAATCAAATCGCAAAAATGGCGTGGAAACTGCTGTTTAAGGTTTAGGGTGAAGTCCCTTGAGCCTTTAAGTAAGATCTAAACTCTCTCAGAATAATTGAAGATGAGTTTGAAGGAAAAGCTGTCTTTGGAAACCCCTTCTGGACTTCCATGGTACTTTTGCGATAAGTGTAAGCATTGTTTAGGAGCGCCATGCGCTGCATATGCTCTTGGCAAACCCACGGAAGCTTTTTATGCTGCGTGTGGGCACAACCTGCAGAGTGGCGAAAGTGCTCCGACTCGTCTATGAGGTGTTTTGCATCTAATAGATCTTGTGTCGAGTACTCCGGGTAGTTTTGTATAAGGGTGAGGACGTGGTGTTCAATACAATAAAATCAGTAGGGCCGGGGAGGACCTGTATATTTTGACTTAGTAGATCTAATTCTGGGCTGAAGACTACATGGTGGAGGGGGTCTGTGTTGGGAGCCAGGAAGATGTTGACATATTGTTTTCATTGCTGGGTGGGTATAATTGGAAGAACAGGTTGACCTGCATTATTTAAAACCCGTTAATTGAAAATATTTACCCAAATCCCATTGCACACTCAAATATTGGGTGGGTATCTTGAGCCCTTAACCATACGTATGCATGTGCACCTATGTATCCCTACATATCCCTACAGAACCTATTTAAAGATACTCCAGCATTGGGCACTTGGATCCTCAGGGTTGGGTTTGGGGTTCGGGGTCGAGGCGTTCTCGAACAGTACGGAGGTTAAAGGCTTAGGGCGCAGTGGAAAAAACTAAACCCAAGCACAGTTAGCCGTAAGGCCAGGCATTTCCCATGAGCACATTTCCCATGATTCCTTTGAGGGGATTTGAGCCTAATAGCTCAACGCGCATTGCCTTACATCACCACCCTCCACAGACCCTTAACTGCATGTTGGAGACTCGTGTAGGGACTTCTTCCTCAGGGGCGTGGGCGTGATAAACGTGAGCGCTACATGTAAGGTCAGGGACTACATGAGTTTACAGTTTGAGGTGTTGGGATTTGGGCTACGGCTACAGTATTTGGGGTGTAGGGCATATTTTGGATCCATAGGGTAGTGCGGGACCACTCCCGTCTGTTTGATGCACCTACAAATGGTATCTTGGAACCATCTGGCTTGCAACTCAGCCCGGTTCTGCTGGTCTGCTGGGCTGAACGGACTGAAAAGCTTGAATCCACAAAGCTTATCAGAAAAACACATAGAAACCCTACAAACTCATCCAAAGTAGTCTTAATACCTTCAACAATCCTAACACTCCTCTAGACCTGTATGATATCAAGCCCTTCAACAGCAGATACACCTAAACCTTCGGAAACTCGACACGAACCGTCACTCATAGATCTCTGAAACCCCAAAACCAATATTCCTGCCTTTGCCATAGTATATTAATCTTCTGAGGCCAGCAGCTAAGACTCACCCGCTCTCCTCGACTTGAACCTTAACCAGAATACTTATTTCAACTCTAAGCCCATTGAGACCTTAACCCTAAACCTCCACAGCATAGATGATCACGCCCTTAACAGGGCCGAAAGCTTAGAGAGATTTCACCCTCAAGTGCTCCTCTGACCCTCCACAAAATCTCTTCCCTGCACCTCCTGTGGAGGCCCCGGCGCCCAGCTGCCCAAAGCGTCTTCGGCGGGCGGCCCTCCCGAGACGGAGAGTTCTGAGGCCGGCTCCGAGACGCAAGCTGCGGATGACGTCGGGCTGTAGGGGGTACTCCTTAAAGGGATTATATAGGGGATTCTATACGGGAGGGCAGGGTTTGGGTTTAAGGTTCAGTTGGGGTTGTGGATGTACAGCTTGCAGCCAGGGATTACTGGCTGTTGTGGGGGTTTGAGGTCAGGGGTCTTCGGGGTGGTTAGTCGTTGCACGAGGTGACGGGTTAAATTCAGGGTTAGGGAGGGTATCAGTGTAGTGATGCACTCACAGAAATTCCAAGGAACCCTATATACACACAGCCCAAATACCATAATTAAAAAGATACATACAAGCTTGTAGGCTTTAGCCATTCTCCTCAAAACTGCTCCCTTGCCATTGCAGTAAAGGGGTGAAGACAAGACCTCGGGCAAGCACCCAGCAAACTAGAGTATCCCAATTGGAAGATTGTCAAAAACATGTTCCTTCTTGGGTCCCTATATATATATATATATATCATATGTCTGGTGCAGTTTCCTTGTTGCTAGTTTCAACTCCTCAGCTATGACGCGGTCTACATTGGAGTTCCAATTATTAGGGTCCTCCTATGTATCCCCAAACATACTATACTCCTTGCCAGAAGGACACGCCACAAGCAAGAAATCCCTGATATGTATGGCCCTTGCAGGATATCTGTATTATCCGCATGACATCCCCTATCATCCCAAAAACTCCCTCCCTCCGATTGAGTACCCCAACCCCCGCAAACAAACTGTATCCCAAATGTATGACGCCTCTTGTAGGTCAATATCTAACTAACATTGGGGGTTGGGGTGCGTGTTCAAAATGACGGTGATGGGATAATTAGTTTCCAAAGCCAATGGGAGAGCCTCTCTGTTTTCTCACCGGCTGTCGAGTGAGGTGTTTGTAAAAGTCTGGTGTAGACACGGCCGACAATAGCCAGCAGTCTCTTTCAACTGCAAACACCAAAACTAGTAGGAGATCTCAGGATCCTTGTTGACATCAGTCTGTAGGTAGGGTTGTAAAACTGTGAATCAGGCTAGACGATCATGACAGGGATGCTGCATAGCGTCTACTTGAGGACGCCCATAGCAATCCTCAGCAGGATCTGTGAAAAACGACTTCTGATGGTTAAGTGCATACGAGCAAGGAGAAACAACGCGTTGAAAAAGTTGCAAACTAAGCTGTGCACGCGTAGTACACAAGAACAAAAAAAGAATAGCAAGAGAATGTCTGTGCTGGAGGTCTCCCAGAAGGAAAACGGCGGTGTCAGCTTCCGGGGAGGTTGTCAGAAATCGGCCAGGCATCTTAGCTTCCTAAGCTGGCACTTGCATCCTGCCCCATCCTGGAAACTTGATGCTTGGGACCCTTCTTCGAAGTGTATTGCCAAAGCCAGAAAGACACAGAGTTCAAGGGCTTTGGAAATTGCCACTGTGGGTCATGGAATATGTGGGTGTCGTGGAATATGTGGATTGTTCTTCATGATGATGTAGGGATCCACTTCTCCATTCCATACCAACCACCAGTAAGTTAAGAGTGTTGTAAGACTATTGGAAAACTTAGGCTTGAGCAGCGCACTTCAAGCCAAGTGCCTGAGAAGAGGGATGTCCGCCTACGACTAAGCGCTCTATGGCATTTGAATGTACAAGGGTTGAGCTACTTAACGCACAGGGCCTTTATTGGCAAGTATAATCAAGATTCCTCGTGCCAATCCTCATCAGCCCGAAGAAATCTTACAAAGCGCTGCCGCTTACTTAGATGTAGCTGGCCTGTCAGTGTCGCTGGAGTCCACTATCGCGACACGCCCATGTACCGAAGATTGAAAGTATGAACGCTGCTGTTGGAATGATAATATAATGTTGCGGAATGGAACTGTACCCTTTAAGAAGCTAAACACCTCACCATGTTCTCACCCTTTGCTGCAATTCTCGCTTCACGCGACAACCCCCCCATCAGGGGCAGAGGTGCTAAGCCCCAGCGTCACCATAAAAGCACCTGGCCAATTAGGCGTGAGGGCATAAGGATGAGCGATAAAGGTCTATGCTGTATGCAATCCATTTTTTTTAGAAGTAGGCTTTGGGGTTTAGGGCTTCAGGTTTGGAGTTTAGGTTGCCCAGTTTACAGTCCAGCTACAAGCTCTGAAAGCCCAAAAAGGTTGAGAAGTGAACATGTGCGATCGAGGTTTCTATGGGGTCTTTGAGAAGAGTTCACGGTTCTACGGCTGACATCAATGCATATTCGCATGTCTGTAGGCATATATAATCATACATACATACGATGTTTATCCGGTAGACACATGTTTTACATATGTATGTGACTAGTATAAGGCTTTAAGCTGTGCATTCTCCACAGTAGACCTTCAGAGGGTCTTGCCTACACTGCGATGGCTAGGACATTGATGCATAGAATATGGGGATGTTCTTCGCGACTATACAAACGCTACTATGGAGATCTCTTCCTTCCGTCCCTACTGGGTAATCACCAGTAAGTCGACAATAAACCTCAGCCTTGGTGTGCTCATTCCCGAGCAGGGACGCCCCAACATAAGGTGTAGTCAACATCAGCTACAAAACCTCAAATTCTGTCCGCAAACTTCAACTTCAAGAACGAATTTGTTCAGATTATCTGGCAGAAACACTTCCTGAAGCCGAATCTCTGTTATCCCTGGAGGCCTCCCCCTCCCAGGCCTGAGTACTTGAGTGCCAGTCACAAGCCCGTAAGCTATGAGCCCTACTTCTAGCACCAACACCTTAAGACATAAAACCTGAAACCCTGCAAATTCCAATCTTGTGACCGGAACTCCTAAACTGAACTACTTGAACTCGCGGCTTACAGATCCCAAAGTGTCAGGCTACACAAGTTCTAACTTTCTGAGCCCCATAACTGGATAATCCTCAACCTGAGAACAGAAACCTTTGGCCATGGCCTCAAACAAGGGTCTTGTTGATGAGGTTGTTCATGAAGTCGTCTGGGGTGTCCTTCACTTCACCTGCACAAGAGCACAGTGCGGACTACATACTGATCCTGTCTGCGTCTATCATTCTTTTCGGTCTGGACATACTGGTAGCTCTGCACATGGAACAGCAAGCGCCGAAAGACGCCCTAAGGCTGCTACTCAGCCCTACCACCCGAGAAAAATCGGAGGCGATGTACATAATGTACATAGGGTTCAGGGTTTAGGGCTCAGGTATAGGGTTTAGGGTCTGAGGTTTAGAGTTCGGGGCTTCGGGTTTAGGGTTCAGTTCAGGGTTTAGGATGTAGGGTTCAGGGTTCGCGGTTTAGGGCCAGGCGTTGCCTCGCTTCAATGGCTCTCCGCAGGACTCGAACCAGGTCACGGCATGCCTGAGAACGCCGAAGCGGAGTCTGAATAATTGTGTAGTGTAGAAGGCTATGTAATCGCCAATATTGTGATCAGAGGTAGCTTGTATGAAAATAGTACGGGGACCTCAAACAGACCTCAAATTGATGTTGGTAATTGTCTAGACTCATGTAGCAGGGTAAGGACTAACATAGGATTCGGATAGCATGGGGTATGATGAACCCGAGCCATTTTACAATCTTGTTGTCGTATAGGCACCACTGTGAAAGTTGCTACTTCATGCCTACAACATCTTGTGACCGATCATCATTGCACATGGTAGCCCTAACACTAACTACTCTTGTCCTCATGAAGAGAAACATTGGCGCTATCACCGTGAGTGGGTCCAGGTAGCACGCACTGCTAATTCTGTTGTCATCGCCCTAAATCCATAACGCCTAAAGACTAAAACCGTAAATTCCTAACCCTGGCCTCCAAGTCCCAAAGCTCCTGAACCCGAAGATGCAGGTCAAGAAGTTGCCACGGAACCGATAGCAACACGCCAAGAGCCACAAAATCGCATCCACCGAATAAAAGGAACTCTCATCTAAGTAGAATTCAAAATCAGGTATCCTGGTATCCCCTTTGCGGATCGTTCCAAGAAAGTCGGTATCCCTACAGATACGTAGGGCGTTTCCCAACCTACGAGGCCTCAACCCGCCCGAACAATCTAAACCCCAAACCCTCCGTCAAAGGTTCAGTTTAGGGTTCAGGGGTTTAGGAATAAAGTTCTTGACTTAAAAGAGCTGGGGGCTCAGGTTCACGTTGCAAGCATGCTCAGCATTGACCTAAAATTTCCCAGCTTGAGGCTGCAACTTGCATGCAAACTCAAATCATGACCCCAGCTATCCCCACCATGAATCTACTTACCGGGGCCAAGTATCGAGTCCAAACCTAAACCTGAACCCGAAGCCCTAACTGAATACTAAGCCCTGAAACCTTTTACCCTGACCTCCTTTACGCTAAACCCCTTAACCCCAAATTGCGAAACCTTACACCTCTAAACCCCAAACCGCTCAACCCTATTCCCCCAAACCCTGAACCACCTGGCCAACGGAAACCTAAAAAATCTTGACTAAAGCTTGAAGCTCCAAACTTTTGCCCCAGGAGTCTCAGGAATCCACCTTGGACCCCATAACCTGAAGCCAAAACCGTATGGAACCCGCTAAAACCCGACACTCTCACACCGAAATCCTCCCTGGCAGGATCGAGCTGCTTTCGGTCTCCCTTGAAGGTGTTGCGGCCGTGCAGGACCTGGGACTTGAAACATCAGAGTCATGGAGCTTCTGTGCATGGGATGGCTTAGGATTTAGGACTGAAGAGTGTAGGGTTATTTGAGTGTTTGGATGCTCGTAACCGTGAGAACTGCTAGCCAGAGTCAGGATTGTTAGGAGAAGCGGGCGTAGAGGAAGGACACGGATGAGAAAGTGCACGCTGTATGGGCCAGGGTCCTGAGCCTTCTGTTGGCGGAGTCTCCAAGAATTCTCAAATGCTGGTTATTCCACAGCAAGCCCTACCAGTAATAAAGACAATATCATATTCCAGCAGGGCCAAAAAAACTCTGGATGACTGCTTTTGCCTTGTAACAAGTTCGGAGTCCGAAAACCTACAAACAAGCTCCATTGGCAAAAAACTGGTGACAAATTTAATATTGTTGGCCCCAAAACACCCCAAGTTCCATAGATTTCCTTTTACTTGTATTTCAAGTACTACAAGCTGCACTGCCTAGTCCTACACCCCTGGTTTACTAGTGCAACCCCCTCCCGCTCTGTGGACCAAAAATGCAAAACAAGATCCGGGAGGAGGCTTTTCTTTTCAGGTTGACTTTGGGGTGTAGGCCGCGTGCGACTGCATGGGGCCATGTGGCAAGCTTTTCGCCAGTGATCAGTATTCGGTTCTGTGCAAGCATTGTTGCACTGGCAATCTTACACCCTACATTCCAAAGCGCAAAGCCCCAAATACCCGAAAACCCAAACCTTGAGTAGATAAACCCTACAACCCTAAGATCCCAAACCTTTTCTGGACTATCTTTGGGAATCAATGGCTGCCCCCAGCCGCAGAAACCCCTCAAGCCCATGCCCCTGGCACTCCATGCAATCTACACTCCAACCAGCTGAAATCTGACGTGACACCTGCATCATGGCTGCGCCATTCCTCAGAATACCTAGACCCTGGGACCTGAAACTGAAAGTCTTTTCCCCAAGACCCTACCCAAACCCTAGACCCCTAAACCTTACCTAAGCCCTGACTGAACCCCAAACAAACCCTGCACCCCAAACCCTGAACACTCAATCCTGACTCCCCCAAACCCCCGAATGACCTCAGCGAGCCCCAAGCTAAGGCTGACTTTGGATTCTTGCATGCAAGGGATGTTCATGGACTTAGGGTTTAGACAGTTCAGCGTCTCCAAAATCGAGGCGAGGGGGCATAGGATTCCTACCCGCAGAGAAAGGACCGTACAGAAAGAGACCTTCAACAGGAAATCGAGAAACCCCAAGTTACAAGCCCTAAACCCAAAACCTGTAAACTCCAAATCCTCAAAGAAGCCCACATCCTTGCAGGCAGGAGCACCCGGTAGTTGTCCAGAAGGACCACGTCGCCCTTCTTCATGGGCATGGTCACGATGTTACGCTCGCAGACCTGGAGTCAGATGGCAACTTCTTTCACATGTAAGTATTCTTGGGGGCTCTAGGCAGATACATACATATATATATATAGAGCGAGAGAGAGAGAGAGAGAGAGAGGGAGAGAGAGGGAGAGAGAGAGAGAGAGAGTGAGTGAGAGAGATCTTCAGGAGAATATAAGGGCTTCCAGATTCAGCGTTTGTCAGAGCTTGTATTGATTATGGGGGTTGGGATTCGGAGTTTATCGGAGAAGCCACAAGCGCTTGAACCAACACAGCCTGGTTCATTTGGAAGGCTACCACCTTCGTTCTTGGCGTCCAGCGTCTTAACACTTCAAATCCTCGATTCCCAATTCCTTCTCACGTGGAATTTTCCGAAAAGCGGCTGCCCCCCAGAAACCTCCAATTGGGGTCCCAGGTCAACAAGAGGCCTTCCAAGAACATGACAGGGAGACCCTCTTGAGCTTAGGGATATACCCTAAACCCTAAGCCCTGAATCGAGCCAACTCTTTAGACCTGCACCCCTGGACCCTATACTCTACATAATCCCGATATACCCTATGAAACCCTGAACCAGTCCATGTAGCTAACTAACCAATCCGCTGCACATGACTACTCAATGTAGGGACGTATACGTGTGTGTAGGTCTATAATAGGTGTATATACCCCCTTATAGTAAGAAGCACCCACGATTGCAAGCGAGTACCCGTCTATTGTCAGGAAATAAGTATTGTTGAGGGAGTTGGGGTTCAATTCTTCAGGGAGAGTGATCAACTGCTAACTGGCTCATTGGAAACAGCTTTCAGTACCCTTGGAAGTAGTTGGGGTCATGCGGTTTTAGGGCGTCCTAAACCCATAAGCCTGAAACCCTTAACCCCAAACCAGGTCCTGGTGCTGCCCCCTGATCATCCTGAACCCTAAAACTTACGGGGTGGTTGGCGGGTTGGGGCGGGAGAGATTGGGCTTAAGGTTCCCTATTGCTGGTTGACGGTTGATTGTTGACGCAGAAAACAAAGTCGCTGAGATTTTAGGAGTCAAAACCACAAGGAGAATGTTAGGATAACTGCAGCCATCACGAATTATAACCTCATTAGGAGTAGTCTCAACCCCCTAAACATTTGCCAACGACAATCTCCTACTTCCAACTGTGGCCTCGTTGATGTGCCTGACATCGTCATAGGGGATCGTGGAGAGGTCTCCACTGTAAACCTGGGTATTTAAGCTGAAGGGTGGAGCTAACGGTCTTGGAGTTTCAGGGTTTAGGGTTTAAGGCGTGGAAGCGGAGAGCAACAAAGTGGACGCAGCATACCCCATTCAGCAGATGGGATGTGCAACGAAGTACTGTGGAAAACAGCATAATGAGAACGCACAGCAAACTTCAAGCCCGTGGAACATTTTGTAACCATTCATAACCTCCAAGAACTCATGACCTCCAATCACCTCTAGGCAAGTTCACCGAAATTCTTTCAAGCGTGGCATGCTTGGAGGCTCCGCAGGGCCTAGAGGGTTCTCATGTCTACACCTATAGCCCAACTCAACAAGCCCCACATTCCCTGAAACCCTAAACCTACGTACTACAAGCCAAGTTTGGGGCATCATCATCCACACCCCTCTATCTCAAACTCAACCACCGTCAGGGGGGATTGGGGGTTTCAGGGTTTACTGGTTTATGGAAAGTACCATGTGTAACAGAAGCACACCTGCAAAAAAATCGTCACATGTCATATGCTCCATTTCACTGAACTCAATGTGCGGCCAGACCTAGTTGTACCAGAACAATCAAACCAAGAATTGGAGAACCGGAGATCAACCACTAGACAGGGGTTTTAAACCTGTACAGTGCTTAATAAGGCTGAATCGGGCTGAAATTTTGAGCTGAAGGGTGCGACAGAAGTACTCTTGTGGTGTTCGTGCTGCACTTCTTACAACACCTGTCGTACCCCCGAGACCCATGTAGACCAAAGAGTTCTCACTACAATCTCTGGACCCGGCTGATGGTTTCTCAACATTTAGGGCATCTCTTGCGTGCTCCTTTTTTTGGAAACCCCCAACTCCTCTCGTGGGAATTTCGTCTCGAAAAAAGCTGCTCACACGTGCGTTGATCACCAGCCTGAGGCCCTCAAAGCGCAGACCACAAACCCCAAACCCAAAAACTGTAAACTCTGACCCGTAAACAGCAAAACCTAAAGCGATACCTTCCACCCAAAATCCTGAACCTTGACCCTGAATCCCAGACCCTGAAACCCTAAATCCTAAGCCCTAAGTCCCAAATCCCAGAACCCTAGCTCCCCAATCCTGAAACCTCTGCAACCGGGCGACATCCGTCATGCCCACCTCAGGGACGGTGCACGGACGCCGGTCGCGAAGGTAGCCTGAGAGCAAGCGAGAGTTCAGGAATTCAAGATCTAGCGTCGGAGTTTAAAGGTTTAGAAGTTCAGGTTGAATTCAGGGAATTAAGGGGCTTAGGCGCTGGATTTGGGTTGCGGGATGGGCAGGTTTAGCATCTCAGGGGTTCGAGAGTTCAGGAGTTGAAGTGTAGGCAGGGGAAGATCTATTCAGGGGTAGGGGGTTCATTCTTAGGGGGAAGTGGTTCACAACGATACTGCTGCTTTAGGACAACCCTGGCACCATGGTCGCTCCCCCTCCCGGCCTAAACCCTCAATCCTGAATCCAAAACCTAAACCATTGACCTCAAAGCGAAACCCTTTATCCTCAACCCGTACACCTCCCAAACCCCAAACTCCCCTTCAGTGGGCAGCCAAGCAGCGGCTGTGGTTGTGCAGGTTGCAGAACCACACTGGCTGACCTGGTTTTGGAGGTCTCTCACGTCTGCCAGAACAAGCTCTCCAAGATTCTGGACTCTGCACTCCTGAATTGGCAACCCCTCAGTCCTAGTCTCAGCTGTAGAGTTTGGGATATGATTTACGGTTTAGGATTTGGGCTTTATGGTCCAGGATTGAGGCATGGCCCCTATGCCCGACCTGTGACCGGGTGCGTGTTGATCGGCGACTGGGCGTGCTCAATTGCCTGCTCGACTCGAAAGCATTGGCACACCGGAAAAAGGTGTGGGGTCTGAAATTAGGTTCCCTTTTTGGGGGGTTGAGGGCTGACGGTTCAGGGTTTACGGCTCTGCTGCACCTTCACTGTGGTTCGGAAGAGGTTTTTGATCTCGGGGAAAAAGCTGGCTGAGCTTCTTGGGGTTTTGCGTTTAGGGCTTAGCTGAACTTCAGAAGCATGCGCGCCCCTGCACCTCATGGATTCACAAGCTGTACTCTGGAATCTGCTACCCGGCGCAGAAGAGCCCTTACAGGTGGAATTGAAGGTTCATGTGCTGTCGCCATAACAGATTGGAATCGTAAACTTTGGATACCCATACCCCTACTTATAGCCTATCATGCACCTGCCGATCTGTTTCTTGGCAGCAGGGTCCTGCAGACATGCTGATGCCAGGAGCGCTTTCTCAACGGACACGTTTCAACCCAAACACGCTAAAACCCTCCAAGCCTAACACTCTGAACCCGAACCCTTACATTTTCGTCCTCCTTACGCTGCAAACCCAAGGCCCGCCTGCAGCCTGAAGGGGTTCGACTGGTCCGCGCCGAAGATCATCTCCAGGTCCATCTCGAACCTGAGATGCACACGTCAAAGTGTCTGGGGTTTAGGTTACCATTGACGGCTTGGGGTGTAGGCGTAGTGCTTAAGGTTCTAAGGACTCCGCATCCAGGACTGGGGTTTCTACGGCTGCTACGGATACAGCGCCTGCAGGTCTACAGCTTTTGAACGTCAAACTGGAGTACTGCAGGGACCGTACAGAACTAGAGGGCATGAGGGTAGACTGTTCTGTAGTTGAATAATATGATCTTTATGTGGGGATAATCCTTCCAGTTCAGTCTCATGAAAATTAAATGCACACTTTCAACAAATTTGACGAGCAGCGACCCTCGAAATCCAAAAGCACAAAAACCTTGTGCCTTGTCACAAAACTCTGACATTCAATTTTTTACATTCCTGGAGACTGAGCATTGAACCACAGAAAACTTTGGACAGAGGCTGAAGTGTATCAGGTGAGGCTACATAGATGAACCCTCACCAACCTGCCCTCTTCTAACCTCTACATCTCCCTCGGCATCCTAAGGTCACAATTTTCTGCGGCACCCGTAAACCCCAAACCCAAACCCTTCAATGCTAACTATAAACCCAAATCTCTCAACCCTGGCAACTAAACCTGTCTTAGGAATATATCTATACATATATACATATGGTAAGCCCCCAAGGAATATACATAGGTGTGTATATGTATATATATATATATACACATGGATATATGTATATCCCTGAAAGTCCTCTTACAGAACCTCAGGCAACCCAACCGACAGGTTTAGGGAATCTTGCAGCAAGGGCTCTTGGGAGCGACCACCTTAAGGATCAGGTCCTTCCAAACGGGAGTTCTGGGTTCGTCAAATCAACACGAAACTGTGTAGCTAAGAAGATATTAAGGGAAGGAAGTGTGTAAGGATATTGTTGGGGGTATGATCCTCCCTCAGACTAAGATGGAACCGCGTCTAATGTTATCAACAGAGGCCCCTTTATGGGTTCCATGCGAGTTTGGAGAAAATTTGCGTCACTTTGCTTAGGATCTCTGGCTCAGGTCAAAAGGCTCTATCTTTGGGATTCGCAAATCCTAAGCCCTAAGCCCCTAATCCCAAATCCAGCTGCAAGGCTTGGAGGTTTTGGGGATGTACAGCGCAAGGCCTTGAGATTAACTCAGGGCTCAGGGCTCAGGTTTGAACATGAGACCTGGGAGTTTGTCGAGATTTTGACTTTTCCGGAACCCTAGGACTGCAGGAGCATGTAGGAATTTTCCGACAATCCAAACAAGGTAGGTGCACTACGAAACAACTGCGTACTCTACAGTGATGCTTCTAATGAACTACAGCACAAACCGACATCATGACCTGAGTCTTTTGCTACCGAACCTCAGATCAGTAGCAGCAAGGCCTTGGAAGAGCCAAATGTGTAAGTGGTAGTCTTCTACACCCCGAAACTTTGTTCTCACTCAACTTTCCTGAACTGTGTTTTTCTGAACCCTAAACTCTCGTCTGCAGGAAAACCCGTAAGCCTAAAGCTTAAAGCCTAAACCCTGAGCGCTCTCCATCCTGCAGGAAGTCAGCCGTCTGCTCCCGAAATCCCTCGGGGAGGGCGCCCAAGAAGTTGAGGTCAAGGTTGCTCCTGGGCTAGGTCTTTAAAGGGTTTTGGGCTTAGGTTTAGGGTATAGGGTTTAGGGCTTAGGTTTAGGGTATAGGGATTAAGGTTTAGGCGATCCCCCCCCACTAACAGTGGGTAATACAATGATTGTTTTATGTTTTCACTATGGGGGCTCCACCATGCAGCCGTACCTTGTCAGGGGTCCAGCTAGAATGCCAGAAACCTTCTCTACGGATTGGAGGGGATTTCTGAAAACTGCCAATACCTTTTCATCATTCCCATGAGGAGGACTGATTTGGGGGGTATGCAGGGGCACCCTATTTCCAGAAAGACCCAACAATTTGCTCCGGTCTTCAAGTTTTGTGAAGCCTGGGACCCTGTTACTTCCTGGTTCATAGCAGTGAATAAGGGAACTTATTCTACAGTGATTATACAGAGATTATGTTCCGTTATTCCCTACTAAGAACCAGTAAGGTTAAATTGAGCTAGCTATTGTCAAACACCTTCGTCACTTTTCAGGGTAGTTACAAGAAGTCAATAGCATTTGCTCAAGACGGGGTCTCTGTTTCCCAGCTTGCTACACGGATCCTTGCAGCGCCTTGCATGAGAGAGCTGATAAGATTCCAAACTTCGATCCAGAAAACTCGAACAACCTTGTCCAAGAAATATCTTCAACAAGAATCATCAAGCCGCGACCCTACATCCATAAGACGCGTCAGCCGAGTACACTGTTAGTTTCAAGCTTAAGGTTTATGCTATTCAGGGCTCAGAACATAGGTTTCAGGCTTCTGGCTTTGCATGGCTGTATGACACCTGGACAACCCGAAGTTTGAGAGACCCGGCTTGCAAGAACCTCTAAATTATCTCGAAGCCACACGGAGATTCGAACCTGAAGGGAAGCTTCTTTCTGTCCTATTTGGAGGTCAGCGGAAGTTAGCAGGTGTTTTTTTACTATATTACTTACTCAGAACCCCTATCAGCCACGTAGGAACAAGCGGTTGTGCCAATTATGAGCCTGCTTACTACATTTCCCTGACCCTCGAACAGTGGTCTTGATGCTGCCCCCACCCTCTCACAGTCCCCCATAAACCAATGAGGGCAAAATCAAACCTCAAAGAGGGTCAAATGACTGCCACTCTAGACAACGGCGAGTCTTTAACGATAAGGACACCACAACTTGAAGCATACTAGGCACGGCTACTTCTTGCAAATGGCGAACTCTAGATTGGAAACTGTGTAGCTAATGACCGTGTGCACAAGTTGCCCATGCAGAGTCGCGAAGATTATGGAGAATTCACACACTTTGGGCCGCTAGCCTTGTTCTGGTAGATGCGTTCGAGCACGTCCTTGTCCAGGTCGTTGACAATCCTTGTATGGGGGGTGTCTCAGGTGCTACGAACACTGTTTCGCATGAAAGGTCCAGTCTGTTTTCAGGCCGCAGGCAGGAAGCCAATATTTCACATGGGTGGGAACCTGGCGTTACGAACCAACAAATCCCCAAAGCCGCAATCTCGACACCAAATCTTCCTAGAGTGGAGCCTGCCCACCCCCTCACTTGAATGGGCTGGCAGGCTAAGAATCCACGGCGGAGGGTTTGGGGCTTAGGCCTTTTAGGCCTGGGGCACAGGCTTCTGTAATTTGATGTTCATTGATTAGGCGGTTTCAGGGCTTCATTCCTAAGCCTCGATTTGTCGCGCAACTCCACACTCAGCAATCCCCATGAAAGGAGCCCGACACCTTGCTCCTTCCCTAACCCCTAAACCCTCATCCATACACAATGTGAACCCTAAACCCGAGAAAGACTTGGACCCTAAACTGGTCGCCAAGGCTCTTGGCGCCATCTGCCACGAGGAACTCACCGCCGCCCTCGGAGGCGGGCTCAAAGCACCTTGGCTTTTTTGAGGGTTTGGGGATTCGGGTGGGAGTAAAGCTTTACCGGGGTGAAGGTACTCAGGGATTGCGAGGCTGAATATGCTTGAAGACTGCTTTGTCATTTCAGGATAAAGTTGAGGAGTAGAACTTTTTGAGCCATGACAAGATGAAGTACTGGAATTGTTGAAGAGGCCACGCTAGCCATCTTGAGAAATATGACGCGCAGGTATCTCTGGCTAAAGCAATGCAAGCGACGAGTTCGATAGGCGCTGATTCGTCACACTCAGCCCGGGCCTGAGCCCTGGTTCCTGAGTCATCTGATCCCTTCACTCTAAGTCCGAAAACGACAGCAAGATCGATGTACCGCAAGCCTCACCCACTTGCCAACGTTGACTGAGAACCATTTCTCTGCACCCGAACTTTTAAAGCCTAAACACTAAGCCACACCCAAATAGTTAGGATGACAGGGCATGCCATGCAAAGCCTACCCCCAGCCTGGACCCCAAATCCAAAACCCACATCCTGAACCTAACTCTAAAGCCTAAAACCCACATTCTGAACCCCATACCTCAAACTCTCAGCCCTAAACGCAAAAGCTGATCGTCATACTGCCAGCAAAGCGCACGAAGGCTCCGTAGGTGGCGGTCTTCACGAAAGTCGACTGCACAACTTCAGCTTTACTTCCAACAACAAGAATAAGAACGTAGGAGCCGAGCTCACGGTCTGTGCTTCAGGTTTACGGATTGGCGGTAAGCATGTAGGATTCAAGGCTTCTGGCAGGTGGTTTCAGACTGTCATGATCACTCCTGGGCGCCGTCAGGTTCAGACAATCAATAGTAGAATGGCATTGATTTTCTGTTCCATTCCCTACTAAGTCTCACCCCTAAGTCACAAGCAGTGCACCAAGCCTCACACCCTAGGCCTCCCCAAATCCAAAATTCTAGATCCTGAGCGCTACTCGCATAAACCCTATAAATTCTACACTCCACAGCGTTATTGCGTTTACCCGACAGCCGCGAGGGTGGCCTCGTTGTGCAAGCCAACAAAGTGCCTGAGCTGGAACCACAGCTGCAGGCAACAGCATTGAGGGCGCAGGATTTGGGAGTTGAGGCGTTTTCGGCTTTGACGGTTTAGGTGGGCGGGGCTGCCAGTCAAGGATTTGCAGAAATGCTCTCCAGCCAAAGATGTAAGCTAATAGGTCTGAAGCATAAGCTATGCAATCTGTCTTCTACTCACTCACAGGACTGTGGAATTGATTCATGGGACCAAGAGCTTCGTCTCCGTCACACTGACGCTCATTTAACCCCAGAGCTGCAAGTGAGAAAAGGCTTCAGGGTTTGCGGAGCAGGGTCAAGGACCTATGGTTTCTTTTCATGAGGATGTCCTATCCTTGGTCTCCTTCTGCAATGAAACCACCTCCAAAAATAAAGGCACTCAAGTTCTGCAAGGTCTGTGATGCTCAGCAATACAGCAAGCAAAGCTGAAACTGAATAACCATACTCCCACCTGCACTGATTTCTCAACTCTCACCCTCACACCCCACACAGCTTGAACACCTCTCTAGAAGAAATGCTTGATTCCTCCAAAGAACTGAGCCAGGGAAGGCTTGTTGACGGCCTCGTAGACCGCGTGCTTCCTTGAAAAACAAAAAGGGGTCAAGGCAGGTAATCGCGGTTAGTGACTTCACCACACCACGATCGCGAAGCTGACGTTGACAGTGTACTTGCTTGCCAGGAGCATGGCTGAGTATGGTAGCAGCTTCAAACTAAGGACGACTTGAAAGTTCATGGGCAATCAAAGCTAGGGTTCAAAAGTCAACTAGCTTGTGTTTTGCAACTACAGGGGTTGTACATGCTTCGTTCCGGACTTGTGATACAAATTCAAATACCCATGAACCTCCAAGTAGAGTTGCTTTCGGTGTCACTGCACCTGTCGAGAGTAAGTCATACCAGGTCAAACGAGTCGGACACCTCCGCCCATAGCACTCACTCTTCCAACTCCAACAGCAACCTCCCCAAAGTCTCAACCCCTGAAGCTTGCATAAAAAAGTCTTGACCGCAACAAACAAGCATGTTCCAACACCTGGGACATCTACCCGTACTGCAATTACAACTGCGACGGTGCTCATCACGGCAACTACAGAAACTTCCAGTCTTCTTCTTCTGCAACTACAACTACTAACGCCCTGCTGCTGCTGCCGCCACCACTGCGTCTTCGGCTATGTAGTGAACCCTGAATCCCAACCGGCGCCTTTGAAAGTCAACGACCACCCAACCAAAAAAATTGTAAAATGCAGGCCCATCTTCTGCACTTCCATCGCTCGCAGGCCGGAAGTGTGGATGGGGTCCAGGCAGGGGTTCAGCTGGAGCGCCTGTTGCAAGTTGCAAGGCTTAGGGCTTGGGGTTTAGGACAAGGGCTTGGGTTTTGCATTTAATGTCTTGGGTTTGGGACAACTATTGGGTTCAGGATGTGATGTTTACGGTTTGGGGTCTATGCTTTGAGAATGTGACTGTGAGGATGGGACTTAAGCTCTCCAGGCCTCCTTGGTTTCGGACATCCGGATCTGTGAAGGGATCACAAACGTTTTGGGGTGTAAGGTCTGAGATTTCAGGCTTGATCTCTAAGAAGCACGCCTAAATCCGTCGCTGCTGCTGAAGTAAACCCCCTCCCATGAGCCTTACAAGGGCATCGTTGCTAATGGTAAGAGTATCAGGGAAGACTCGAAACTAGAATCTACTGTTCACATTTACCTGTCACCTAAAAAATACAAGTAGCATTCAGGTTGACGGCTTTGCGAACAAGTACCACGAGCCATCCGAAGGTGGAACCACGGAATGTTCATTAGTAATGCGACACTCTCTTGGCAAGAACCGTACATTTGCTGGTAACGACATAGGTTTCAATTGAACGAGATTTTGGGTACAGGAAGCAGACCTTAAACCTGAAGCATTGCAGAAGCGGCTTGCAATCAACCTGAAGGCCTGAGGATTTAGCCCTAAGACCGAGAACCCTCTACACTACGCACAGACCGCCTACATGTATACGTGTACATGAAACTTTGGAATTGTCCATTTGGGCTCCTTGATCCCAAATGCCGAGAATGCTTCAAGCACTTAGACTGAGCTTTTCGTGAAATCCACAACCCAATAACTTTCAAGCGCCGGCCTCGTAGAAGCTGCGGAAGCCCTCCGCATCCTCCATGCAGCTAATCAGATAACAATATCACAAAAACGCATCATGACAAAGAAGTCAAAATTCCAGATAGCAACAGCAGTCGCAATAACGATGATAACAAAACAAATGCATACCAAAAAAAAGGAGCCATTTAGGGCACCATTCGGGGGCTTCGTTCCAGGGCTTCGGAGTGGGAAATTTATGGCTGGGGGTTTTAAGTCTGATGCCTACGGCTGAAAATTGAGACTTGGATGAGTTATGGTGAATCTGCGCGAAAAGGGATGATAGGATTCTCTTGAGGGAATGCCTGTAGCGAATTCTGGCTCTCTGGCAGGGTGCAGAATTTCAGATTATCAGGGATGCAAGCTTCAAGTCTTAAGAACCCTACACTCTAAATACTACATGCCATTCCCTACCAAGAAACTTGAGGAGTGCAGGCTTCAGGGTCCGGTTTAAGGCTTCGGGTTTAGGGTTTAAGGTTTCGGGTCTCTAGGGCTTGGGATTTGAGGTTTAGGGCTTCGGGTTTAGGATTTAAGGAGTTCGGGTTCAGGGTTTCGGGTTTAGGTTCTGAAGTAGCGTTTACACCCGAATCTGCATCTACTGCCAGGGGTCTGCATGCTCTTCGTCAAAGAAGCAAAGGAAGCGATCCATACTGGCAACCTTATACCCACAAGGCCAAAACCTCATACCGAAAAAACTATGCAGGATATTTAGGGCTTCACAGGCCAAAGCCTCAGCCTGCTTGCAAATTCTCTATAGAGCTTTGCACAAAATTGTAAAATTGTTTTGGCATACACTCCACTATGCTGTCAGGGTGATATGGGAAGCAAACTCTAAAGTATTTGCATCTCTGAACCCTCCCTAAAAGCACTGAACCCTAAACCCTATACCCCAAATCCCCGTGCTCCTCTGAAGCCTTATAACACCCCCAGCCAAACTGCAGCTGACTCCTTGGTCGACTCGAAGTTGCGGAACCAAATAGCTCCGTGCTCCTCACCGGATTCTAATTCAAACGTTTCGTACTTTTCCAATTCAAAGGTTTAGTGCTTGGGAGCTTAGGTTCAAGGCCCAAGAAGGAGTTTGGGCAGCTAAAGGTTCAAAGAATTTGCAAGATACTTGGCAATTTTTTTAAGATGGCCGAATGATGCCCTTAAACTAACGCTCTCAACTCTGCGAGGACTCAATGATGCCACTACCTTGTACGTTCTTTCCAAGCACTAAACCTCCATGCCTACACGCTACACTGCAAACCTCACAGCATCTTAAACACCGAACCACGCCTTGTCTGGAGATTAGGATTCAGGCTTTAATCTTCGGGGCTGAGGGTGTCTAGGGCTTTCGGGTCAAGTCCTGCAGCTGGGCCATGATCTTCTCCCTCTGGGCTGCAAACCACTCCTTCTCCGAGCCCTGCTTCCTCTGTGGAGGACATTTGCGAGGGCGGGTGGTAGCACCAGCGTCTGTATGACTTGGATACTTCAGCAAGCGCTCTAGATACACTTCCGTTTTCAGAAACAGTGGTGATCAATTGTTGAAGGGCAGATTCTTTGTGTAAAGCCCTAGTACTTTGCACAAGCTATTCCAAAAGCTTCGATGATTGGGCTCAAGGGGCTGACGTTCAGAATTTCACGATGAAGCACTCATCTCGGGCACCCCTAGAAAGGGGGACTGACAATAGTATCCACAAAGTAGGCATGTATGGGCTATATATGGATGCCAATGTTGGAGTCCGTCGGTTGGGTCCACCTTATACCCTTTGATCATCTGACCCACACCTCCTTCTACGGGAATTTGCCGAAGTTACACTTCCCCAAATAGGAAGAGCTGCATATGGGCTCAGGGTTGAGAATTTAAGATCGTGCCTCATGACCAAGGCTTCAGGCCTCTGAGACAGATACATCCAACAGGCCGGCTCAGTAGAAAACCAGTCTGAGCTTGCAATTTTCTCTAATGATTAAGAGCGGAAAGGCTCATGTGTGGGGCTGAGGGCAGCAGGAGCACGAGGCCATCTAGTCGCCTCTCCAAGAGATGCTGTACCCAACTTGCTGCCCAACCTCTGGAAGCTGCGTGATACAGACTATAGAATTCATGCCCGGCTACAGGAGAAAACCAGCTGCCGCGTAGCCGAAAAGATGGAGCTCCAACAACACCCTGCAGGAATCCCACTTATACCACCTGTTGTATCTACTCATAAACCTCCAAGTATGAGCCCCTCATAGCCCCTCGAGTTCCGGGCAGATCGGCAAGTTCTGCGGCGTCGATAATGAGAGGCGCGGTCTTGTTTATATCTGGGAGCCTTCTTTTTTGTGCGTCCAGGCTTGAGGGTCTACGCGTAATGCCGCAGTGCTCAAAAGTTTGCAAGGTCGAGGGCAAGGATAGAAGAGGGGTGAGGGTTCGCTACACTCTTAACCCACGGGTTTTCCAACTAACCGAGCCCTATCTAGGAGCGCATCCTTTTAGCACGGCTTGTCAGGGCTTCTTGGAGGTTCATGAATAGTTGTGAGTAACATCATATAAGAATTCTATAGGATTCGAGAGCGAGCGGTACATGCGGGCAGAAGACGTCTGCAGGGTTTGGGCTTGATTGCGGGGAACGGCGCGAAATCAGGCATTCCTGGGGACCTTTCAGATTTATGGGACTATAAAAGCGATTATGAACACCACCATCCTTTTAATTCAAGGATTAGTTTTCGGGTTAGAAGTTGAGCCTGTGGTTGAAGGCTTAATTAGGCCCTTCAGAATATGCTTTCTGGCTGAGGGCCACATATTTGGCAGGGGGATTGCGGTCCTAGATTGGCGTCGGATGCTTGCGGGATCCATTCCCATGATTTCCGGCTTGCATAGCCAGCGACATTGAAACTCCATCTGAAAGCTCGATGGCCGAAGCCCAAGCCTAAATCGCAGTTGGTCGTATAAAATGAAGGGAAGGCATGGAATATGGGGATTGGGACTGCTATTGTTACTTGAGGGCTCCATTCCTCCAGGCCCTACTCAACATAAAGCAGACCCCTGAAACGCTCAACAATCAGAATCCGTAGAGGTCAAGCCTTTGGAGCGAAAATTCTTTACCGTTCCAAACGCAAGATACCGTCACTTTTTTTCTCAAATTACCATGTGATAGATCCTAATGACGTGCGAAAGCCAAGTCTCGTCGAGAATGTGCGTGATGCTGATCTCAACCCTGGCTCTAAAACCCTACGCCAGGAAGCTTCACAAGCCCCTGCGGCCCAACAAGCCTTTCAGGGTGCGGTGGTAAGCCCCGTATGCACCGTGAACCCTTTGAGGCCTCTTGATGTCGATGTCATCGGCGTTCCAGATAGTTGGTGGGCAATCCGGAAGCGCGCCAGACAGGTCTCCGACCTAAGGGCCCAGCCAAGCACTCCCCTTCTCAACGAAATCAACCGAAAAATCTTCGTCAGGAGTCCGCGGGGGTGAAAGGGGTGGGCTGAAGAAGCGATTGAATTCAGGGTCTCGAGTCTCGGATGTAAGTTTGGCTGGGTCTGGGATGACGGGCTCAGGGTTGAGGGCAGGTTATTCAAGGCATACTGGTGCATCGTGACGTGAAGGGCTGTCTATGGGTCATGCTTGTAGATTGCGGTAAAGGGAGATCATGGATAACTTCCATTGGGTTGACAAGTACCTCATGCGATGCGGCTGCAAGTATTCTGCGTCTAGCCAGACTACCCGTCTACGCCCCGGATCCCTTCATCCTGCACCCGAAGCCCGAGACCCCAAACCTAGAAACACAATGCTGAAGAATCTCAAACTCCGAACAGAACAAATCCACGAACCCGGAACCTGGAACTCAGTCTTCATCCTGCTGAAATGGACGTGTCGAACAGAGTCCCTTGTTATTGTTGGGTGTGCCCGCGCTGAGGACTAGATGCCCTACAGCCAGCCAAAGCCACATGTGATCCGAATATCCTGTTCACAGCGCCTATACTCACAAATGGTGGCATTGTTGAACGAAAAGGATGGAAACCCGAGAGAGTTCACCAAAGCCTCCCACTATCACAGGGGCTTTGAAGTGTATCCCTGTATCCCCCATGTCGCCAGCCCGATGTGACTGCTCCCCGAAGCGAAAATCAATGAAACTAGCAACATGAACCTTGATGCAAACCGGAGTAAAGGCAAGCCATAATGACAATGCAATAACTTAAAAAGCTTCAACATGCTCATAAAGGTTAGAACAGTGGTAACAATGGCAATCACGGTAATAATGGTAAGACATGAGAATAACTATCATTGTGGTACTGGCGGTGAAAACCATTGAGAACCGCAGCCAATAATGGTCAGAATGATGGTGGTGATGGCGGCAGCGGTGGTGGGAGGCGGTGGCGACGGCAGAAATTTCATAACCTTAAACTGCCTGCAGAGCCACCTTTCGCTCTGCCACCGCAGTCTGCCTGGGCGCCTGCTGACGGCGAGCTACCTGGCTCTTCTCAAAACTAAGGTTGTGTGTTAGAGTTTAGGGTTTGGACTTGCGGGGTCTGTGTGAGAAGGATATGTGGGTTTATGGCTTCTCAAGACTTGGGAGCTTCAAGGGCTTGCAGGGGGTTGCTGGATTCTGCCTGCAGTAAAGTTCATGGTAAGGGCTTGAGGGAACTCCCAAAAACGATTTGCGGCTTACTGAGATTACAAGAGTCACACGGAAATGGGCATTCTGAATCAAAAATGTTCCGGAAGTTCACCATAACTCCAAATCCATGCCTACTTGCGCTTTGCCATCTTGAGAAAAAGCCATACCGCGCAATGTTCGAGATCGTGAACTTTAAGCTGAGAATCTAGACCCCTAAGCCATGAGAACACTAAACCCAAGCCCCAAACCCTAACCACAGAATATTAGAGCTGAACCTCGAAACCCTAGGCCTTCATCCCCTGAACCCTACACTCCAAATTGAAGTTCCCACAGTTATGTAACTAGGGGTCGCCCTACTATACCCTAAGTACGAACCCCCAACAAAAGACTCCCAAGTTCCGGAAACCCCCACAGGCCCCAGCCTTGGCACCCTGTCGGCGCCCCCTTGCGGCTGCAAAGCCAGCCGCCACAACCTCTGCTGCCATGTGCAATGGAGCTTAATTACTTGAAGCGCCCATACTAGGCTTAGAAGTATCCCAGGTAAGGTATAATTCTTTACCTCGTATAACCCCAAAGTGGAAACCACAAGTAGGGTTTGGGATGTAGGCCGTACTGTTCTGGGTGGAATCGAAGGATCTTGGGATGCAGAATTCAGGGGACCACTGGCGCTTAATACTTAGAAGTGACAAGGGTTGAGAGCGGCTTAGCTAAGAATTTCGGAGGCAGCTTTATTAGGCTGCAGAGTTAAGGTTTTCTGGCTTGCATGCGCTAGTCATAATGGGTTTTGGGTCGAGGGCCCTTTACAGCATATAGGGTGTAGGGCTCAGCGCTGAGAAATGGTACCCAAGAACCTGACCTGAAACCATCTAAAACCAGAATTTTACTTTGGTAGAGTTGCATACTCGTTACCAGGCCGATACCCCCAATATCTGACCCTTAAACCCTACATAGCCCGTAACTGAACGCCGGGGCCCCAAACCCCATCTCTGGCGGTAATGGCAAAATCGGAATAACAACCAAAGCAAAACAAGAGCAAAAACCTGATATGGTTGAGAAACGCACTATACAGCCATAAGAACCTGTGCACCTTTAGGAAGGGCTGACGACGAATAGATGCAGCAACCAAAACATCGATGAAGCAACCATGGCTGTGACAGTGTAGCCCAAAAGTCGAGCCTCCAAAGTGCCAGCGACACGAGACCCAAACCCCAGATCCCAGACCAGTACACATTATGTGACAGGGATATATACCCTATTATATTGTGGTAGTTTCCATTTTCTTTTCCATTATTCCTATATAACACCAATATATACCCTAATATTATCCCAATGGGTACACTACTCCCTGAACCAAGCTACGGCGGCGGCACCCACAGCAGCGGGCGCGCTGGAGGAGGAGGAGGCCTCAAACTTCTTGGATTTGTCTTCTGCCATAACGAAAATACCTTGTGATTACAGGATTTTGGGCACCTGAGGCTCGGAGAACATTTGATCTGGTGTAAAGCCTACAGACAAAGCGTACTGGGGGCTAGCAAACACTGAAGGCATGGAACTCACGGTCTACTCGCAGGGCCTGCATTGGGACTGCTGCAGGAACCCATCCCTTCTTGACAGACCACCGACAGGGCTTCTGAAAACAGGAGGCGGAAGCTGCAGCCGCGGTTGCACTGGCGCGCAGGGCGGGAGTGGCAGGTGCCTGTCACACACAAGCTAAATCGCTTTCATTTCAGTGTTGCGTGCTCAGGGCTCAAAGGCTAAGGTCTAGGTTTAAGGATTGGGGCTTTAGTTTGTTTGGGTTCAGAGTTGAAGAGAAGGTTCCTAGAAGCTAAAAAGAAGCGCATAGAATCTAACTAACTGTCTTGTGCAGCTTGCCGAACGATGCTCACCCCAAAAAGCCGGCCGGGACTGCACTTCGATGTAACCCCAGCTTCCATTCTCTTTTCCAATTCTCCATTGTTGGCGGTACTATCTCTATACACCTTAGGCTCAAGGGACAAGATTGTTGAGGACGCTTTTCCGCCTGCCTAGAAACTGCCTCAGCCCCGCTATGTCACGATCACCCCTGTTACCCTGACTTCAGCGTGCCTGTGAACCTACCTTCCTTGCTGGACCCAAGGTTTTGGGTTTAGAGTCTATGGCTTGGGACTTAATGGCTTAGAGGATAGAGTGCATGGTGCAGGGTTTACGCCTCACGTTCCAGGTTTTGTACTTAAGGACTTATCTAAAGCCTTGTCAAAAGCCATTCCCTGCAAACAGCCAGCAAGTTGTCTGCACCTTTGCAGAAGTGATGTAATTCCGTCCCTGGAAGGCAGCCCTCCACAGAAATTTTGCCGAAGGTTAGGGGTTTGCGGCGTTGGGTGGGCTTGAGGATGATAAGGCTTTGGGGTCTCGTGTAGGGTTGGGTATACAGACGCTTGCAACGTACGTATCCCTGAATGTTGGGTACATATCCCAAACCCCTCGCCCTGAGCCTCGCGGAAAACTGAACAACCAAAATCCGCCAAAAGCCTGAAACACCAAAGCCTGTACCTCAAGCCCTACTGGCCCTGGGCCTTTGCTCAATTCTCTGAAAGTTCCCCAAAACCCGAAGCTTAAGGCAAAAATGCTGGACTTGGAGTCCTACCCTCTGACCCCAAAGCTTCAGCCCTACCTATAATAGTCGCAAACCCCAAACCCAATCTAGGAGAGTTCCTTGCATACTGGATAAGCCCCCAATGGCCTGGGAGGGCGCCATTCCCACGAAGGCCGTGCATGCAACGGAGGCCGCGGCTCCCACCTGGGTAGGTGCTCGCGTTAGCGTTAAGGCATGAGGTTTCGGGTGAAGGGCTTACGGTGTAGGAGTCGGGTTTGGGGCTTTCATGGTTTCTTGCAAAGCTTGTGGACCTTTGCTTGAGGATCCTTCAGAGGGCTCAAGGTCAAGGGGTCTAACGTGTGTGCAGTTTCAGATTCAATGTTTCAAGCAGGGTTGTAAAAGGGTCTATGCCGGTTTTAATGCTCCTGTCGTGGCGTTGAAGGTTTTGAAAAAAAACAGCAGATTACTTCCAATCCTACTCTTCGGGTTTGGGATGTGGTTTTCGAGTTCTAAATGGCCTGACGCATTCAATGAGGAGCAAGGAAACCCCGATCAATAATTGCAGTTATTGCCAGGGTACAAGAAAAGGATGAAGTAGCAGAACAGGGCCGGAAAGGATGATTAACCGGAACAATGCATGTGTTTACGATTTCAGGAAGCCAGGAACCCAAAAGTCGAAGAGAAAGCTTTTTGTTGGTGACCGAAGAAAGTGCCAGTGCTGGTGAGGCAGGGCCCTGGACAGCATAGCACACGTCCTATCGAGACTGTCATAGCTTCTGGCCTAGTGACCTAGCGTCAGAGGGACGAATTGGAGCACCATTCGGGTCTGGGGCTTGCTGGCTCCAACGCGAAAGCACTGTAGGCCATTGACGTTGGAAAGCAAATGCCGCAACCAGAATGGTTCCAGTAAATGGAGATTTTACATGAGAACTGGGACTAGCATTGGTGACAATGACAATCAAGATTGCCGTGGCTTGTCCTTGAAACCCCTTCAAAACGCAACCCTGAACCCACAACGACCCGCAAAGCTTCCAAGTAAGCCACCATGATGGCACGTTTCTCAGCACTCATGGCGCTTTCTGTATCCAACAATGCCGGCTCCTGCGCTACACCCTTAAAAACAGCTGCAGGAAGCAGTCACAAGCATTGATCTAGGCCTTGGGTCTTAGGGCTACGTTGCAGGAAGCAGTTTAGGGCTATAAGGTGTCCAGCTCAAAGCCACATTCTTGGTCTGGAAGGGAACCCTTTATGTGGAAATTGAAACATACGATCACCGACCATCACCACCCAAACCATAGCTGTCCCTGGTTAGTTCCATAAGAAGTACAGCTCACTATGCGAACGCAGGTGCGGTGAGCCTAAAGTATGTTTCAAGAAAGCCCTTATCACTAAAACCCAACCATTTTGGGGCTTACTCGACTGGGGAGCCTTGAAACAAAACCTCAAACTCTGGGTCGACTTTGGGATGTCCTGGAGCTATAGGCACCAGAAAACCTGTGAGCACCCAAAGACCCTTTTCCAAAAAACATTTTATTCGAAAAACCCCATATTCAGGCTTCAAGCTGGATATCTAGCTGGTGTGTGCCCCGAGCGGACTTTTTGAGTTTCAGGGATTGGATCTTAGGCTTTAGGGCTGTAGGGGCTCGGGCTCTCTGGATTTGAGGTTTGGTGTTTATTGGCGCCCGTTTCTGCTACTATATCGAGAAGAGGGGAATCCAGTAGTGGTATCTGTGAAAAAACGGTTACCAGGAAGAAAGTTGTGTGGAGGGGCCGTAATAACCACTGTCGAACTCTTCAACCCTTTCAACATGATTTTGACTCTAGCCTTGCTCTCGTATCATGTTCAACCTGAATCCTAAACCCTAAACCAGATATCCCTCATCTCCCAAGAGTTTCAGCCTGTAAACGCAACAAACCTGCAGCTCAACAGCTTTGCACCAGAGCTCTGACCCCCCCAAAGCCCCACGTACACTGTGACTGTGCGAGAGGCTTCCCAAGAAAAATCATGGTCTCCCTACTTATGCAAACTCAACAGAATGAAGCATGCTTTCTGGGCCCGAAGCCACTCATATAATGCTAAAACCCCATGCGCGAAACGCAACCACCTTAGGGCAAATGGCAGTGCCACGCCTGCCAAGCTGAATCTTTTCAGCATCGCAGAATGATCTGTCGCCCAGGGGTCTGCAACAGCGCGACTCCAACTTGATAACTGAGTAGGGCTATCATCGTCACAGAAAAATATGACAAACATACCCGGGGTGATGGCCCTACTCAGCACCCAGAAGAATACCCTGCCGTGTGCGCCTGAGCTGCATTGTGGCTTAACCTTGCAAAAACCGCAGCAGGTTGCAAAACGCAAGCCGGCTTGCCGGCGCACTTCTCATAACCATTCCAAGCGGAAGAAGATCTCAGGCTGCATCAGGCTTTAGGTTCCAGGCGTTCAGGGCGTTCTAATTAAGTCTGAAGGAGCCAAGAGCAAGGACCTTGAAAACGTCGCCGAGAGTCATAATCCGGTTGTAATATTTGAGAGGCCCCGTCAAGTGTTTGAACTGATCAAAACAATGGGAGGCAGTAACACCTACCCCAAACTGTCATCTAGATGATGATCTTTGATTCCCGCCTATGCTGGGTGCAATACATAATGCGCAGTTCGAGAGTGTGAGCGGGAAGGTTCGTTTTGTGATTCTAGATTCACCCTTACACCCCGAAACTCAAGCCCTTTAGCTTTAGATGAGACCCAAACACCATGCCCGAAAGCCCTCGCAAGATATGGATAGCTTCGCTACGGTTAGGGCTAGGGCCTGAACTTGTTGAGCAAGGCGCACTGTTTAGGAGTTCGGTGCCGTAGTAGCTTTGGGCTCAGCTATCAGCATCAACAAAGACCAGTGGTGAGCTAGGGCTTCAAGCCACAAATGTTTTTAAAAACCTCCTCATGGAACGGGCCATTCCTGCCTGATGTAGGACCACCGGCAAACCACCATCCTGGACTCTTTACACCCCGGGTCCTATATACCCTAGCCCTGAACCCTGAACCTCGTTTTTCGAGCCTGACACAGCGAATTCACCGTGGCAGCCACAGGTCAGGGACAGAGACACAATTGGATCAACTGGGCTTGTTTCTAGGTTTCTGTACGGGCTCAGGGGTTTAGAGTTTGCTGGTTCAGGCTGTAAGGGTTTGGCTTGGGTTGAGGGTTTGCAGCTTTGGAGATTTGAGGTTGACAGTTTTGGAGTGCATGGTCTGTGGGTTTAGAGATTTGGGGCTGAGAGCTTTGGGGTCCAGGGTCTGTGGATTTGGGGATTTGAGCCGCTGTGTACGCAGAACGGGCCCCCTGTTTTGGGGGCCCCCAGGGTTTGCAATCATCTGGACAGAAATACGATCCCCCACGATCCCACTTCTAGCGCACATGCACATATGTCACCCGTAAACAGCGCCTCCACAACACTTATCATATCCCAGCTCCAGCCTCTCATTCGACCGTAAAACCAAACCCTAAACCATGTTTTCGGCGAACTCCAAGTCTGATTTCCTGCCTTCGGAAAACAGCAAGCTCCCTGCTGTCTCTTGAGCGACGGGGGTCTAGGGTTTGAGACTACGTGAATTGGTCACTGCGAGTCCTTGTTGAGCTGCATACTTCGAATAAAAGAAATCAAAAAAATGCAACATGCCTTTTGGCACTGCAAAGTTGAGTGGCCAATGGGCGCAGGATCCAGCACAATCCGAGCATCTTCACTCTCAATTGAGGAATTACAGTCAGGCTTAGTGGAATTGGCCCCCATTGAGGTGCCTGTGCTTGCAAATGTTCCACGGCACCGGACCACGAGCAAGGCTAAACAGAGTTTTCTGAATCGGTCGGGTCCCTTT